ATTGAACTCGACCAGACTCATGGCACAGGAGGTCGACGTCTAGTTGAACTCAACCAGACTCATGGCTCAGGAGGTCGACGTCTAGTTGAACTCAACCAGACTCATGGCTCAGGAGGTCGACGTCTAGTTAAGCTCGACCATAGCGGCGAGAGCTCCACTGAAGGCGGCGTTGTAGTCGCAGGCGACTTCGTTGTGCTGGTAGTCCGTACGAACGTCAGTGTAGCCGTCAGACTGCAAGGAGAAGAACAGTTCTTCAAACAGATATATATCCTTAATTTGTTTAGGCCGCATTTTCCATGACCCATGACTGGTCATGGGTCAAGGGTCAGCCACCCTTTGAGCATGATGCAACGTCTTGCAACTGGGTCAATGCATTTACCTTCTCCGGATCACCATTATGTCTCTGAGAAGCTTGGGATTTGCCACTTTGCATCTTCGGCTGGGTCTGGGCGTCGCACGGCGTGGCAAGCTTGCTACATCACACTACACAAGCATGCACCTTGCACAGGGTAGTCCTTAAAGGAGAAATGTCGTTCTCTGCTTGGTGGTCTATGCCTTACTCTAATCAATTACTCTATAATGGTTGTGCTAAGATCAACTAATATAGACACATTACAGCGTATTCATCACATCAACATTATATGCTGCCTTGTGTAAGGTTACTTCTTTAAGGCTGAGGTAGACGCATTTAAATAGATTATGTAATAATTGGAAAATGTATAATTTTGTTTACTAACAGCTATATTTAACCAGAGTCTATATGGTACCGCTGTTAACAATATGTTAATTACTTATAATAAGCTCGAATAGATTCTATTTTTTGTTTTCAAACTATATTTATTTTATTTACTTGCCGATATTCAGCCTGTAATCAATCTTTCTCATCTATCTCATAAGGCTCACATTCTACATATAAACACAAGAAGTTGATGAAAATCAAGTCATTCCCCGACTTGATAATGCCGGGGAATGAACGTTTCGGTCCGGGCCAAACCGAAACGTCGTCAACTTCTTTATTTTCAGATTTCTGGGATGGGTGTCGACCCTAAAATAATGTGTTTTCCAATTCATCCTGTTGAACTCACCGCGTCGGGGCCGCCGACGAGGGCGCCGTAGAGGGTGTGCGGGTTGGGTCCTGGCTGGTTCTGGCCCCAGCTGTTCTCAAAGCAAGACTGAGGTGGAATTGGACAGGAGCTGAGGAAGGAGAACAGGAGACTATTAGCGGATTTCAGTGACTCACAAGACTTTGAAATATCCAGGGCAGCAAGTCCTTACGTTGCAAAGTTTAGACTTAAAAGTAATATTGGGGAAGTCAAACAATTTGGGCACAAATTTTTCCGTAAGTGGTTTAGACTTGGAGAATAACTATTGGCGACTGGATTGATTATTGGATTATCAGTTCCTTCCTTACTAGTTATTAAGGATAAATATTATTTACGAGCAGTTTTCCCACCGTATTGAGACGGTAAGTGCTTTACCACGACAATAAATCTGATAATTTTTAAACACTGTGTGTGTGTGAGTTCTGGAAATTGTATAAATGGTACAGTATCATGTGACTGGTGGCAGAGACTGTGGCATAGACTGGTGTTAGTGCTTCATGTAACTATTGGCAGGGACTGTGGCATAGACTGGTGTTAGTGCTTCATGTAACTATTGGTAGGGACTGTGGCATAGACTGGTGTTAGTGCTTCATGTAACTGGTGGCAGAGACTGGTGTTAGTGCTTTATGTAACTGGTGGTAGGGACTGTGGCAGAGGCTGGTGTTAGTGCTTCATGTAACTGGTGGTAGGGACTGTGGCAGAGACTGGTGTTAGTGCTTCATGCGACCGATGACTATGGCAGCAGGGGTAGGGTCAGCACCTGGAGCGGTGATGGGGATGCGACGGCGGGTTTACACCGAAGCCCACGACGAAGGAGTGACCGAAGTCACCCAGGATGTAGCCAAGTTGACCGTCAGCCCACTCCCTGTTGGCCGCAGCGTCAGCTGGGTCTCCGTACTTGGCCGCCTGCAGGTAATAACAGCCGGGTTGTATATGTTTGTTAACTGTTATGCTCTCAGTCTATAGTAATAATTCCAATATGGTGATAATTGCAACCAATGATACGGTGCTTGTCGGTGTCTTTGTTACACTGTTGGACTGACCCAGAGGGAGATGAAGGCGACGTTGGCAGCGTGACGGTTCGAGCCCCAAGGGTCCAGGAAGACCAGGCCTCCAGGTGTGTACTGGGCGTCGTTCTTCAGGTAAGTCAGGAACGCCTTGAGGGCGTCCGCGTACTTGGTGTTGCTGGGGTCGACCAGTGACCCCAGCGCCTGATCGGAGATGATAAAATGTCTAAGAGCCGGAATACATTTCTAGATACATATCGTCTATAGATTTTGTTTGGGGGGAAGTATTTTCTAGGGATTTTTTTTCTAGAGTCGACCATTAAACTCGGTACCTGAGACGAGGGTCAAACTCAGCACATAATTAAGGTACTCAAGATAAGCTATAGACGAAAGTTTAAGATCGGAACAAGATTCAGGTTCAAGATTTTCCTTTCAAGTGGTAACAACACCTCAGCTTAAACGTCGACCCAGAACAGGGGAAAAAAATCAAGAATTAGGGAAAACAATTATAAATAACATTAAAGCAAGCACCACCGGGGTCATTAGTGAGATTGGAATGTCTTATATACAGCCTGCTTAGAGTTCCACCCCCCCCCCCCCCTCGCTGCACGCTCAAAGCTGAGCAGAACCTCTATAAACATGTGTTTATATATCTGACAACTGATGTTAACCTATATATCTGACAACTGATGTTAACCTATATATCTGACAACTGATGTTAACCTATATATCTGACAACGAAAGCTGATGTTAACCTCATTTTTGCCATGCCGCTAAATTTCACCTTTTCGACTGTTCCTACACATACATAGTGTATTTATGTTATATATTTGATACGAAATTCCTCGAACTGTAAACATTGTTGACGAAAGGATTAGTTAATGAGGAGGAGGATAGGAGTGAAATGGGAGACGGGCATGAAGAATGAGACTAGTGAGAGGGATGATAAGGTTTAGTGGCTGCGGTTATCGATGTTTTGCTTACGTAAGCGCCGGCCTTCTTGTCGTCCCAGGAGAACTGGAGGGCGCCTTCCCCCAGCGAGAAGTCGTCCCAGGCCGCCTGAGCCTTGGTGAGGTAGGTGTCGTCTCCTGTGGCGCGGTACAGCCACAGCGCCCCCCACAGCAACTCGTCCCCGTACCCACTCCACGACCTGTGGGAGACACCATGTGCCCAGGTTATTATGTGTCTCCTGTGGGAGACACCACGTGCCCAGGTTATCATGTGTCTCCTGTGGGAGACACCACGTGCCCAGGTTATTATGTATCTCCTATGAGAGACACGTGCCCAGGTTATCATGTGTCTCTTGTGAGACGAGACAGCCACAGCGCCCCTCACAGTACTCATAGAGTGTAAACAGAGCTCTCTGTGCACTATTTAAATATAAGTATGCTATTCTTGAAACATTTAAATTTCGAATCACAACTTATTTTCGTTAAAGTAATACTTATAATACTAATATAAGTACCTAATATAATACCTACTAATACCTTCGAGGCAGGAGGTTTATATATAACATGAAAGGCAGTAGGGTACAAATATTATACTATAAGAACCCTGAGGTATTGCTTCATAGAGTCGGTGAGGATCGCATATTATACAGGACTGGTAAACTCGCCTGTAAAAATCTGCAGCGTCGGTGATGGAATTGTGGTACTCAAGACGGTACTCGTCGGCGAAGGCATAGAGCTCCTCGGCCACGCCCAGGAGCTCGGCCGAGTAGGCCGAGTCAACATCCTGCAACACGGGTGGTGGTAAATGTTGGTTGTAGCACACGGGTGGTGGTTAATGTTGGTTGTAGCACACGGGTGGTGGTAAATGTTGGTTGTAGCACACGGGTGGTGGTAAATGTTGGTTGTAGCACACGGGTGGTGGTAAATGTTGGTTGTAGCACACGGGTGGTGGTAAATGTTGGTTGTAGCACACGGGTGGTGGTAAATGTTGGTTGTAGCACACGGGTGGTGGTAAATGTTGGTTGTAGCACACGGGTGGTGGTAAATGTTGGTTGTAGCTCACGGGTGGTGGTAAATGTTGGTTGTAGCACACGGGTGGTGGTAAATGTTGGTTGTAGCACACGGGTGGTGGTAAATGTTGGTTGTAGCACACGGGTGGTGGTAAATGTTGGTTGTAGCACACGGGTGGTGGTAAATGTTGGTTGTAGCACACGGGTGGTGGTAAATGTTGGTTGTAGCACACGGGTGGTGGTAAATGTTGGTTGTAGCACACGGGTGGTAGTAAATGTTGGTTGTAGCACACGAGTGGTGGTAAATGTTGGTTGTAGCACACGGGTGGTGGTAAATGTTGGTTGTAGCACACGGGTGGTGGTAAATGTTGGTTGTAGCACACGGGTGGTGGTAAATGTTGGTTGTAGCACACGGGTGGTGGTAAATGTTGGTTGTAGCACACGGGTGGTGGTAAATGTTGGTTGTAGGGCAAATGTCTCCTCAGAGACTTAAAGTGCAACGCTTGGGAGAATGTGAAGCAAGGTGGTGGTGTCTTGTTTCATTAGAGAGGGGAAGTGAGGCAGGTCAGAGGGAGGGGGAGTGAGGCAGGTCAGAGGGAGGAGGGGAGTGAGGCAGGTCAGAGGGAGGGGGAGTGAGGCAGGTCAGAGGGAGGGGGAGTGAGGCAGGTCAGAGGGAGGGGAAGTGAGGCAGGCCAGAGGAAGGGGAAGTGAGGCAGACCAGAGGAAGGGGAAGTGAGGCAGGCCAGAGGGAGGGGGTATGAGGCAGGCCAGAGGAAGGGGAAGTGAGGCAGGCCAGAGGAAGGGGAAGTGAGGCAGGCCAAAGGAAGGGGAAGTGAGGCAGGCCAGAGGAAGGGGGAAGTGAGGCAGGCCAGAGGGAGGGGAAGTGAGGCAGGCCAGAGGGAGGGGGAAGTGAGGCAGGCCAGAGAGAACCTCACCTTGAAGACGATGGAGGCGGCAGCGAGGGCGGCTGCTGTCTCCCCAGCCAGGTCACTACCTGCAGGAGCAACACCACAATAGTGTTATTGACCACATGCAACCTGTTTAAGTACAACTGAGAATACCTGAAGACAAATACTTGCAATCTCTTTGAAAGTATCTTATTTACTGTTGAAGGTATCTTATTTACTGTTGAAGGTATCTTATTTACTGTTGAAGGTATCTTATTTACTGTTGAAAGAATCTTATTTACTGTTGAAAGAATCTTATTTACTGTTGAAAGAATCTTATTTACTGTTGAAAGAATCTTATTTACTGTTGAAGGTATCTTATTTACTGTTGAAGGTATCTTATTTACTGTTGAAGGTATCTTATTTACTGTTGAAGGTATCTTATTTACTGTTGAAAGAATCTTATTTACTGTTGAAAGAATCTTATTTACTGTTGAAGGAATTTTATTTGCTGTTAAAAGAATCATATTTACTCTTGAAAACTTTATTTTCTTATGAATCATATTTACTATTGAAGTAACCTTACATGATGATTAAACATCAACCTTTTGTTAACATTAACAAAATTTAAAGAGTAAATAAGAATGCTTCAGAAAAATTTTAGGATTATCTTAAAGTTTTCTCAAGTAAAGTTTCATCTAGCAGCGCTTTATCCAGTAAAGATTTATAATACTTCAGTTTGTTAATACGAGACATACCTTGGAGGTATATAAAGCGTTTATTTAAATGTTTCCAGAATATTGTATAGCCAAAAATGCCTTCAGATTTGTGAATAATGAATCCCAAAACAACGTGAAGAAAAGCCTTTACTCTAGCAAATGTTTTTAATGTCTTAGGTTTTTCGTAATCTTTCAAGTGTAACTTGAGATTTGTAAGAATTGCATAATTAACGTATATGTGTAAAGAAACAATGTTAAGAATAATCTCAGAGAAGCAAACAAAGTTTCAGGTTAATAATAAGGAATTATTTTCCTGGGGAAAGGAAGTATCATTATTCTTCCCTTACAGGTAGAAATGAGGCATTTGTACCTGAGTACAAAGGTCACTCACCTATTTAAACCTTCATTAACTAATCAACTACAGCTGTAACTGTACCAACCTGGAGCATCCTTGTCGATCTTCATAGAGGGTCGATCCATGTACATGTCCTCAGGTCGACCCCAGAACCCGTGGTCCAGACTTCCCTTACCAACCTGCAGGATGTAATGAGAATTGGTTTGGTGTTGAGGTTAAGGCCTTGGCAACCTCTGGAGGGCTACTTAGGCCACCACAATTGCCTAACTAACCTCACCAGCAATTATACTTTAGTTCTGAACATAGTCCAGGAGCAAAGTATACTCTCAAGTGTATGTATACACAGGCGTAGTACACCTGTGTGTGTTTATATATATATATATATATATATATATATATATATATATATATATATATATATATATATATATATATATATATATATATATATATATATCCGTTAGGTTTATACTGCAATTGCACTGCAGGATTACATATGCTTGTTCTTGTGTTCTGCAGCTCATAACATGAAGTGAACGTAGTATAACAGAAGAACATTTGAACATTTCACTATAATAAACATGATAGTGATAAAACTACAGCTTTAAGATAAGCTACCATTTTCACAGTGACTTCTTAAATATTAATGTAGATTCATTTCAAATAATGAAAATTGCTGCACTCCTCATTAAACATGGAGAAATGTTAATTAAAATTGTCACAAAAATTACAATTACTGACGTATGAAAATATGTTTATATTATTTAAAAAGTCGTTAAAATAAATATTTCCTCCGTGGAAATTAAATACAACTTTCCATCAACTTCAGACAACTGGTTGAGTGATGTCAACTCTAATCAATCTCTAGTGATGTCAGCTAATTCGTGCCTTGTAGTTAGGTAAGCAACAGTGAACGTACCTGGCCGTACAGTGAGAGACAGTGGACGTACCTGGCCGTACAGTGAGAGACAGTAGACGTACCTGGCCGTACAGTGAGCGACAGTGGACGTACCTGGCCGTACAGTGAGTGACAGTAGACGTACCTGGCAGTACAGTGAGAGACAGTGGACGTACCTGGCCGTACAGTGAGAGACAGTAGACGTACCTGGCCGTACAGTGAGTGACAGTAGACGTACCTGGCAGTACAGTGAGAGACAGTGGACGTACCTGGCCGTACAGTGAGAGACAGTGGACGTACCAGGCCGTACAGTGAGAGACAGTGGACGTACCTGGCCGTACAGTGAGAAACAGTGGACGTACCTGGCCGTACAGTGAGAGACAGTAGACGTACCTGGCCGTACAGTGCGAGACAGTGGACGTACCTGGCCGTACAGTTCGTACTCAGCAGTGTGGGCCTTGAGGAAGTAGTCGGTGGCCCACTTGACAGCTGCACGCCCGTACTCCGTCTGACCTGAGGGTTGACGGACGTCAGTAGAGCTTGATAGGCAATCAAGACACATTGTTGGCGTACGCTCCACGTACGTGTAGCGTACGTGTAGCGTACGTGAAGCGTACGTGAAGGGGTGATGACACTTCCTTATTAGTTAATGTAATGAACGCAAGGTTATGTTGTTATGGGGTTGGTTACGCCAAGTGAATTCGTTATAAGTGCGTTAATACTTGTTAACGTGTCATAAACATGATGCTGACGTGTTATGGACGTGCAGCTGACGTGTGATGGACGTGCAGCTGACGTGTGATGGACGTGCAGCTGACGTGTCATGGACGTGCAGCTGGCGTGTGATGAACGTACAGTTGACGTGTGATGGACGTGCAACTGACGTGTGATGGACGTGCAGCCGACGTGTGATAGACGTGCAACTGACGTGTGATGGACGTACAACTGACGTGTGATGGACGTGCAGCTGACGTGTGATGGACGTGCAGCTGACGTGTGATGGACGTGCAACTGACGTGTGATGGACGTGCAACTGACGTGTGATGGACGTGCAGCTGACGTGTGATAGACGTGCAACTGACGTGCAGGTGACGTGTGATGGACGTACAACTGACGTGTGATGGACGTGCAGCTGACGTGTGATGGACGTGCAGGTGACGTGTGATGGACGTGCAGGTGACGTGTGATGGACGTGCAGCTGACGTGTGATGGACGTGCAACTGACGAGCCGTGAGTCAAGTCTTTGTGATAATTCAGCAAGTTTTGCTATAACTTTGGGCAGTGATTTAAACCATCAGTATGAACACTATGAAACAATTGTCTACAAAGTCTTGGACCCCAGGAGCTGAGACTTGACCCAGCAAGCACTCAACGTAACCCACACAATGTCGCTTTTTACCACATTAACTCAGATATTAACAACGTTGTAATAAAGAACGTTTTAAAAGCTTTTTCGTAAGTAGGGAATTAATTAGTTCAAAGTGCATAACAAGTGCAGCTGTACAGTGCCTGGGATGGATGTGAAGACAAGGGGCCAGATTCACGAAAACACTTACGCAAGCACTTACGAAAGTGTACATCTTTCTTCAATTTTTGACGGCTTTGGTTACATTTATTAAGCAGTTTACAGGCATGAAAACTTGCCAATCAACTGTTGTTATTGTTATAAACAGCCTCCTGGTGCTTCGGAGCTCATTAACTGTTTAATAATTGTAAACAAAACCGCCGAAGATTGAGAAAAGATGTACAGGTTCGTAAGTGTTTGCGTAAGTGCTTTCGTGAATCTGTCCCAAGGTTCTGGCCTATGAGAAGGGAGGGAAGAAGTGATACCCAGTCACTCGTAACGTCGGGGATCGAACGCCGACCTGCATGAAGCGAAGGCGTCGTTGTACCGACCTGGCCAAGTGGCTGCAACACTTACGTCTTGTGTTGGGGCTGGTATGAGGTGTTACACAGCAGCACAGGGAATATGTTGGCGGCATGTAGTGGGTTAAACTATAAGAACACTACAGCATGTTTATGCTTCAGTGGGCCTCGTAGCCTGGTGGATAGCGCGCAGGACTCGTAATTCTGTGGCGCGGGTTCGATTCCCGCACGAGGCAGAAACAAATGGGCAAAGTTTCTTTCACCCTGAATGCCCCTGTTACCTAGCAGTAAATAGGTACCTGGGAGTTAGTCAGCTGTCACGGGCTGTTTCCTAGGGGTGGAGGCCTGGTCGAGGACCGGGCCGCGGGGACACTAAAAGCCCCGAAATCATCTCAAGATAACCTCAAGATTCACGCCAATATTGACCAGCCAAGCTTCTGTTTACAACCTTTCCTCCTACAAATTACGTCTGAATTTGGCCGTTTTCCCGTATGGCCGAAAATGGACGTAATTTAAAAATAAAAAAAAATGAAAATAAATTTTGGATTTTTTTCCAAAACAGTAAGTTAAGGATCCCCTGGTAGGTTAGGAGGGCAGGAAATTCTCCTAAAGTTTCAAAACGTCATGAAAAACGTTATTGAAAGTTTCCTCTCCTAATCTATCCGAGTAAGCCGGAGGACTCAAACAGGAAACAGGACAGTACATCACTCTCGTGAGTAGATTTCTTTTAAAATTACGTCGATTTTTGGTCATATAGCGCGCATACGAGCGAGAAGCGACGTTAAAGTTAAGAGGACGGGGTTGGACCAGCGGCGGCGTATAAGAGTAATTACTGACCAGCGGCGGCGTATAGGAATAATTACTGACCAGCGGCGGCGTATAAGAGTAATTACTGACCAGCGGCGGCGTATCCTTGAGGGAAGTCGAGGAGGCCCCAGGCCAGCACTGTGGCGGTGTAGGCCATCGGGAAGCCGAACTTGACGTGATCTCCAGCTGTTGAGGAGAGATGGTGAGGGTCAGGCAGGGAGGGTGAGCTAGCTCTCTCTCTCTCTCTCTCTCTCTCTCTCTCTCTCTCTCTCTCTCTCTCTCTCTCTCTCTCTCTCTCTCTCTCTCTCTCTCTCTCTCTCTCTCTCACCGTCGTAGTAGCCTCCAGTAAGGTCGTGGCCAACATCAGAACCATCGTCCAGGGCGGAGTCCCACCTCCAGGGGGTGACGCGCTGGTCCTCGGGCAGGTGACCTGAGCGCTGAGCCTCGTAGAACAGGATGGACATGCACAGGGCCTGCAAGGCACACATGTCTATGTTCAAACGTACACAGTTGTTTCTCTCTCTCTCTCTCTCTCTCTCTCTCTCTCTCTCTCTCTCTCTCTCTCTCTCTCTCTCTCTCTCTCTCTCTCTCTCTCTCTCTCTCTCTCTCTCTCTCTCTTGCATATTTTCTCTTGTCCCAAGGTGCCCAACCCATTTGGACGATCGGAGAGTGATTGGACGGTAGAGCGAGACCGTCGTCCTACCGTCCTCAAGAATCTCTTTAACCAAAGTGTGATATTTTTCGTCACGGGGAACCTTGACTAGTATATCAAGACGCATTAAAGTAACGCCTCACCTGAGCATAGTCGTATCGGCCCATGCCAGTGGGCTCGCAGGGCTGTACATAGGGAGACTCAGTGGTCCAGGCCAGCGTCCCGTCTGTACGGGGGCAAAGTAGTGGGTTAAGGTAAGGTAATTATGAGGAGAAAGTGCTAACCTAGTACGGCTATCTAGTACGTGGAAAGGACATAAGGATAAGGAGCTGGGATATGAGGACAAAGAGGTGGGATATGAGGACAAGGAGCTAGGATATGAGGACAAGGAGGTGGGATATGAGGACAAGGAGCTGGGATATGAGGACAAGGAGCTGGGATATGAGGACAAGGAGCTGGGATATGAGGACAAGGAGCTGGGATATGAGGGCAAGGAGGTGGGATATGAGGACAAGGAGCTGGGATATGAGGACAAGGAGCTGGAATATGAGGACAACGAACTGTGATATGAGGACAAGGAGGTGGGATATGAGGACAAGGAGGTGGGATATGAGGACAAGGAGCTGGGATATGAGGACAAGGAGGTGGGATATGAGGACAAGGAGGTGGGATATGAGGACAAGGAGCTGGGATATGAGGACAAGGAGCTAGGATATGAGGACAAGGAGGTGGGATATGAGGACAAGGAGCTGGGATATGAGGGCAAGGAGCTGGAATATGAGGACAACGAACTGTGATATGAGGACAAGGAGGTGGGATATGAGGACAAGGAGGTGGGATATGAGGACAAGGAGCTGGGATATGAGGACAAGGAGGTGGGATATGAGGACAAGGAGGTGGGATATGAGGACAAGGAGCTGGGATATGAGGACAAGGAGGTGGGATATGAGGACAAGGAGGTGGGATATGAGGACAAGGAGCTGGGATATGAGGACAATAATATAAGTCAACTGTTGAACGTTTTGCCAGTTTCCCGTCTTAATACTGAACACATTGGAACAAAAACAAAGTCCTATATGAACTAATTAAATGTCACACAAAGGCATAAAGGCATCAAATTTGAAAACTCCGCCGACAGATAACTCAGTGCTTATAGTCTCTACTTATATGGGAACAAATATATTCTCTTAAATGCTAAAGGCTAAGGCCACGATTCAACGAGTACTTACGTGTCCATTTACGAAACCTGTACATCTTTTCTCTTTCGTGGCGGCTTAGTTTATAGTATTAAAGAGTTTATACGAACTCCAAAGCTTAAGGAGGTCTGTCTGTAGCAATCATAACCTTGTGTTGAGAATGATTTCTCAGCGTTTTTAAGCTTGTAAAGTGATAAAAGTTATACCGAGTCGCTATGATCGAGGAAAGATGCACAGGTTTCGTAAGATGACACACAAGATCTTAAAGGCTCAGCACACGACACAGGTCATCCCCCCTTCTCACCGCAGGCGTCCTGGCCGCTCATCTCAATAGCCACAACCAAAGGCTTCGTGTCACCGTTGAACGACACCGAGAACCCGAAGTGGACGAACGCTCCAGTCTCGTAGAACTTGTCGTTGTTGATGAGTCTGACGTGCGTGTCGTCGATGAGCTCCGTCGACCCTTCGAAGTACTGCATCGAAGAAGGAATTGTTGTCAAATATATATATATATATATATATATATATATATATATATATATATATATATATATATGTATGTATATATATATATATATATATATATATATATATATATATTATATATATATGTGGGTATATATGTATGTCTCTGTCCATAGACTGAATATATGTATGATGTCTACATAGTCCTTGTAAACAAAGTGATGGATAGAAGCTAGATGAGAGAGAGAGAGAAAGAGAAGGAGAAAGAGAGAGAGAGAGAGAGAGAGAGAGAGAGAGAGAGAGAGAGAGAGAGAGAGAGAGAGAGAGAGAGAGAGAGAGAGAGAGAGAGAATCATCAAAATATTAAGATGTTTACAAGGACTGACCATCGGTGTGGGTCACTCACAGACATGCCGGTGACAGGGCCGTCGAAGGTGAAGACGATGTCGAGGCCCTTGAAGGGCACAGCGGTCTGGGAGGAGAAGTTGGCGATGTAGTTCCCCTGCCACTCGTGGTCCTCGACGACGGTCGCACACTGCTCGGCCGCTCCTGTACGCCAGATAAGAAGCTATAAAAGCCCGTCCGGACATTTGTTTAACGTGTGTGAAGAATACAGTTGTAGTAGAGTCTTCCTGTTCTGATGGTGGGGTGTGACGAGCCCAACCGTTGAGCAGTTGAGGACATTACCTGGGTGTAGGTGGGTGAGGAGCCGAGTCAGTACCTGGGTGTAGGTGGGTGAGGACCTGAGTCAGTACCTGGGTGTAGGTGGGTGAGGACCTGAGTCAGTACCTGGGTGTAGGTGGGTGAGGACCTGAGTCAGTACCTGGGTGTAGGTGGGTGAGGACCTGAGTCAGTACCTGGGTGTAGGTGGGTGAGGACCTGAGTCAGTACCTGGGTGTAGGTGGGTGAGGACCTGAGTCAGTACCTGGGTGCAGGTGGGTGAGGACCTGAGTCAGTACCTGGGTGTAGGTGGGTGAGGACCTGAGTCAGTACCTGGGTGTAGGTGGGTGAGGACCTGAGTCAGTACCTGGGTGTAGGTGGGTGAGGACCTGAGTCAGTACCTGGGTGTAGGTGGGTGAGGACCTGAGTCAGTACCTGGGTGTAGGTGGGTGAGGACCTGAGTCAGTACCTGGGTGTAGGTGGGTGAGGACCTGAGTCAGTACCTGGGTGCAGGTGGGTGAGGACCTGAGTCAGTACCTGGGTGTAGGTGGGTGAGGACCTGAGTCAGTACCTGGGTGTAGGTGGGTGAGGACCTGAGTCAGTACCTGGGTGTAGGTGGGTGAGGACCTGAGTCAGTACCTGGGTGTAGGTGGGTGAGGACCTGAGTCAGTACCTGGGTGTAGGTGGGTGAGGACCTGAGTCAGTACCTGGGTGTAGGTGGGTGAGGACCTGAGTCAGTACCTGGGTGAGGACCTGAGTCAGTACCTGGGTGTAGGTGGGTGAGGACCTGAGTCAGTACCTGGGTGCAGGTGCGTGAGGACCTGAGTCAGTACCTGGGTGCAGGAGGGCGAGGCTGACGAGCCCCAGCAGGAGGACCTGGACGAGGACTCTGGTCATGTCTGAGGCTTGAGACACACTGGTGACGGGAGATAGAGTCGCAGCCCTTATATACCCTCCGAGGCTCCCTCGCTATCTTTAGCACTTCTCATGCACCCTTAAACATACTTTTTGATTTCCCGGAAAAATACAATAATATAACCTTGATAAATTATGAAATTTCATATGATTTAATTTTGTTGTAAATATTTCATACTTTCCTGATGGCAAGAAATTTGTTTACTTGTAAACATGTAATTCACAAATTAATTAATGAAATTCATGTATATTATTTTAAACTCATTTGCAAATTATTTTGGGTAGTCAGTCTTGTAGCTTAAATAAAAAAATATTTGTAATAATACATAAATATTTACTTGTGTGTTATTACAGGTATGCATAATACGTGTTCATAACATAGAGGACACGTACCCATACTGTCAATAGGGTATATGTGTATTCATGGCACATAATAGGGGGGTTACATATACACACACTATTATAGAAGATATGATACTGTGCATCAGGGAACCTGTATTCATAATATATAGAGGGGAGTGTAATATTGGTAGTGAAGAATAGATGCTAATATTATCAAATAGGGGGACTGTTGCATCCCCATTTTAATAGATGGATATGTGAACAGGTTGAACAATAGTTTCCATTTTCCCGTTTTTAACGAGCCTCTTTGCTATTGTTTACATTTGTATAACATTGGCGTTCATAAAAACACAGTGAACAAACACGCGATGTTCAGTACTCAGATTCCTAGTCATCGAGACCGAAAGGGAACGAATGTTATTATTGGTTGTCCAATTTGTATAATTATTTACCGTCGGGGAATAGAAAAAGATAACAGGTACAGGTTTGGTACAGGTGCGGATGATTACGGCTGAGGCGCATCAAGATAACAGGTACAGGTGAGGGGGGGGGGGGTATACAGGTGCAAGCGGGGGTGTTAGGAGGCAGGTGCAGCAATTCACAGCATCTCGTAAGATATCTCTTCCCGCGTACGCGTCATCTTGTGGGGGGTCTTCATCAGTAATTATCAGTCATTTTCTCAGAGTAAGATTAAACCATCACCGCCATCTGAGGCGTCCCTCTACTCTCTCACGGGCGATGTTCTTAAGACTGTCTCCTGGTCTCCTTAAGAATGTCTCCTTGTCTGTCAATTGACCCCAGAACCATTCGCTCACCAAGGGCCTGAGCGAGTTCCATTGGGCTGGACGGTAGAACGACAGTCTCGCTTCATGCTGGTCGGCGTTCAATTCCCGGACCGTCCAAGTGGTTGGGTACCATTCCCTTCCCCCTCTCGTCTCATCCCAAATCCTTATCCTGGCCCAGTGCTATGTAGTCGTAACGGCTTAGGGCTTTGTGCTGATAGTTCTCTTCCCTTCCCAATATAATTACTTAATTACCAAGGGCACAGCACCTCATGACCTTTCGTATCTCCCCCCCCCCCTTTCCCCTCCCCTACACCACTGTGCGCCTGTCGATATTCACCGTTCACAGTTCACTGGGCCGAACAGTGAACGGTGTCCAGGAATTAGGTGTCAAACGTACACCTAATTCCATCTGACACACTCACTGTGTCAACACAATTAGATTGTATTTCCAAGTTTGTCATTGGACAAAAGTGTATGGTTTGAGTGATTAAAAAATACAGGAATTAGAGGGTTTGGGCAGTGTTGTCAATATGAGTGTCATCGCTCTACTGCATGAACGGCTCTGCATGTTTGACGGAGTGTTAAGCTAATGTTTTTTTTTTCCATAACTCGTGCGGCTTGAAGTTGGTCCATATCAAGCACAAGTAAAGTAAAATATATATCGTAGAATGTGTAGTGTAACGTATGTGAGCTATTGTAACAGGCGGACTGTCCGCCTTGCTGACACGTGTGTGTGTGTGTGTGTGTGTGTGTGTGTGTGTGTGTGTGTGTGTGTACTCACCTAATTGTGCTTGCGGGGGTTGAGCTCTGGCTCTTTGGTCCCGCCTCTCAACCGTCAATCAACTGGTGTACAGATTCCTGAGCCTATTGGGCTCTATCATATCTACATTTGAAACTGTGTATGGAGTCAGCCTCCACCACATCACTTTCTAGTGCATTCCATTTACTAACTACTCTGACACTGAAAAAGTTCTTTCTAATGTCTCTGTGGCTCATTTGGGTACTCAGCTTCCACCTGTGTCCCCTTGTTCGCGTCCCTCCAGTGTTGAATAGTTCATCCTTGTTTACCCGGTTGATTCCCCTGAGGATTTTGTAGGTTGTGATCATGTCCCCCCTTACTCTTCTGTCTTCCAGTGTCGTAAGGTGCATCTCTCGCAGTCTTTCCTCGTAACTCATGCCTCTTAGCTCCGGGACTAGTCTAGTGGCATACCTCTGAACTTTTTCCAGCTTCGTCTTGTGCTTGACAAGGTACGGGCTCTATGCTGGGGCCACATACTCCAGGATTGGTCTTACATATGTAATATACAAGATTCTGAATGATTCCTTACACAGGTTCCTGAATGCTGTTCTGATGTTAGCCAGTCTCGCATATGCCGCAGATGTAATTCTTTTTATGTGGGCTTCAGGAGACAGGTTTGGTTTGATATCAACCCCTAAATCTTTCTCTTTTTCCGTTTCATTAAGTACTTCCTCTCCTATTCTGTATCCTGTGTCTGGCCTTCTGGTGTGTGTGTGTGTGTGTGTTTAACCTAAGCTTAGGTTACCTCATCTTACTGTCCTGTAGGCAGAGATCTTTTTCTTAAATTTACAAAAGCTTTTTGTTTTAAACTGTTGTTGTTAAAGATTCGCTACCTGGAATGTAAAATTCCAAGTAGCACGGGCTATGGTGAGCCCGTGGGCCTTGTGTGTTTTAAACTGGCCAGTATGATTATTTATAATGTGCAACATTTTGCAAGCGATGAACTTAGATAAACGTATATTATATAAACTTCTAAATGCAAACCAGGAGAGTCAAATTTGTTTGATATAGTAAAATATTGAATGTACATATATTTTGATGAGTTTTCATCAAGGGGTTTCGGGAGTACAGTCAGATTCGTTCTCGAATCACCATCAGGAATTCCGGGTTCGAATCCCGGGCGGGACAGAAATGGTTGGGCTCGTTTCATATCACTTAATGTGTTCACCTAGCAGTAAACAGATACCCAGGAGTTATTCACCTCGTTGTAGGATTGAATCCTGTGGAGGATCAGTAGATTGACCTCGGAGGAGACCTCGATATAAACCTAGCATGTATATATACACTGGCTGGCTGTACCCCCGACACAATAAATATATTTTTATTTTAAATAAGTTTCCGGTAAAACGTCCATAGAAGACGTAGATTTACAGAAAACGAACTTTTGTAGTATAACTGATCCAATCTTGTCTTGAACGCCGACTTGCGCAGGAAACACAAGCAACACATTTACTTGAATTTACCTGAAGGCCACTAACACTCTAGTGGTCTCGACGAGGACATGAAGCCAGCGGCTTGTCAAAGGCCTTCCCGATTTGCCCTGATGATTTTTTCCAGCCGGATATCGGTAGGTCGACGGTTCCATGGGTTTATAACCATGTGGGTGAAAAAGCATTCCCTGTTCTCAGTCCTACATTGTGGCTCGTTGAGCTTGAAACTGTTGCTCCTTGTTTGTGTGACATTTGACCTTTTGAAGAAATTGTCCGGATCAACATCCTCCAAATTATTCAGTATTTTAAAGGTTTCGATATGATCCTCCCTGTCATGTCTGTTTAGCAGTGGTGTAAGCCCTGTGGCCCTCAACCGTTCCTAGTGTGTGAGTCGACTTAGTTCTGGGATGATTTTTAAACTTCCTCTAAAGCAGCTGTCCTTCTGGTGGTCAGGTCTTGCTTAGATACAATAATCCAAGCGGAGACACACCAGAGATTTATAGTTTGAATCACCACCTTCTTTTCCTTAAAGTTAAAGGTACGCTTGATTGTTCTTAGGGTCTGGTTAGCTTTTTTTTCACTGTTTCTTCTGCCTGTTGTGAAATTTTCAGTGAATGGTGCATTTTGACTCCAAGGTTCTTTTCTTCATCAATTT